AGATCCCCCATGAATTGGGAGGGATGATTGTAACTGGGGATTTATTTTGCATAAAATTTGCAAATGGTTGATTTGCATAGTATACAGCATTTTCTGCCCAGAAAACAGAATTTTCTGCATAGGAGTTAATATTTCTGCATTGAAATATTATTTTGCATGCAGAAAATGCTATTTTATTCACAAAACAACCATGTGTTAATTTTGCTCACAGTTAAGTCCCAAATGTGAATAGCCTTCAAGGACCATGTGGTTTTCAAAGACTTTCTTGCAGCAGGAAGAAAACTGATAAAATTACTCCTTGCTACCCTTGAGAAGAAACTTAGGACCTGAAAAGACTGCCAGAAATAATCCATCTCGAGACCACTTTAACTGCCTAGGCTCAGTGCTAGAAAATCATGGGAACTGTAGTTTATTGTGGCAACAGAGCTCTCTGACAGAGAAGGCTCAATGTCTCAGAAAAAAACTATAATTCCCTTGATTCCCTAGCATTGAGCCAGGACAGTTAAAGTGGTCTCAGGATGGATTATTTCTGGCAGTCTGTTCAGGCCCTTAGTGAAGAATCACATCCCTAATCCATGCTCAAATAGTGTTGCCATGTTAAATTCTTAACACATATAGCTGCCGGGCACAACATGGTCCTCTCCATGCTGGAAACAGCTGCTGCTGTTCAATCTCTTTGGTGCGACAGGACTGGCTGAGAATTTTGTTTCAGTTTCTTTGAAATGAATCTGCAATTTATGAATCTGCAGGTTTCATCATACTTGGAATGGAAACAATTTGAAGTTTTAAAAAGCTGAATGTGGAAGGAAGTGAATTATCAGATTTTCTTTTCTTATTATATGTGCCTTGTGGTGTGCTGTAACTGGCTCTTGATTTTGTAGGCATCCTATCTTTCCATATGGTGAGATTTTATTTCACCATTGTAATATTGTGCTGTGTTGGGCATGGAGGATTTAAATGCAGTCCTTTCTGTCAATGGGTACATTTTGTGCTACAGCACAGGACTGTACTGTTGTTTTTTATTGCCGTTTTGATTTTTTAAAAATCTTTACACTATCAAGTGCTTGGTTGAATTTTAAATCTTATTTATTCTGCTTCATTTTACTGAATATGGTGTCCTGGCAGAGAGTTTTTGCCCCTGTACAATGTTTCTGCTGCATCAGTCTGATATTGTTGTGGCTGATAATTTTTATATTATTGTTGTATAGACAATCAGCCCTCCATATCCATGGATTCTTTATCCACAGATTCAAGCATCCATGGCTTGAATATATATTCTGAAAAGCAAACCTTGATTTTGCTATTTTATATAAGGGCCACCATTTTTATTAGCCATGGTATTTAGTGGGGCTTGAACATCCATGGATTTTGGTAACTACGGGGTGTCCTGGAATCAAAGCCCAGTGGATACCAAGGAGCAACTGTAACACTGTATGGACTTTTTCATTTTATCCCTTTAGACAACAAGCCTAGGCAATTTATTGGGGAAAGTTCTTTTTATATTTCAAAAATACTGTAAATATCTAAATAAAAATAAACACTGAAAAATTACTTCAGATGTTTTTATAAGGTCAGTCAAACAACTTTATATATTAGTCAATATCATTTTATGATCTTAAAGCTTTAATGTGTACACAAACCCAAAACATTATTTAGAATGCATCCTCTATTTTCCTAATATGAGAACAGAATAAGGGGGGGGGAGAAACAACTCCTTTCAAGGAACTAAGAAAACTCAAATGATATACGTCATCACTTAAATACTTTGGCAGAATTTTCATAGTATTGTTTTGCTGCTACTTTGCCAGAAATTTAATAGTAAAAGGAGATTTTTGTGGAAAATATTATAACTTGAAAAATGAAGGTCATTTTATTGTACTAAAATAGCAAAGAACAATAGCAAAAATAAACACCAAACCCAGAGCCATATATAAAGTGTTCCCCATATTATGATATTGCTCGTTAACAGTCACATTTGTCAGGAAACCAATACAACAACAAAAAAGTATGATTAAAATGGATACTGCAATTTTGCATTATGTTATTTATGAAAATGTTGGGCAGATATAGAAAATGCCTCACAAAAAACAAGACTATGGGAAAGAATGAGTGCAGTTAGTAGGAATGTGCCTATTTAAATGTTTCATTCCTGCAGGAGAGAACAAGTAATTTAATCAGTTATCTCCTCACTTTAGGAATGTCTTTGAACACAGTACAATTTTCAGAGATGTTCTTCTAGAAGGGAGAAACACCCCGCTCTTTCTCCTGTTGCCTCCAACATGTCTGTGTAGAGACCAAGAGGAATATGTGAAAGCAATCAGGGACTTTGGCTAGCTATGTTCCAATAGCCACCATATGAAAATGATGTCACCCTCAAGGACCTCTGCTGAACCCCTAAGAGGTCCTGAAGGATGTTTGCTGGCTGTCAGAATATAGGAATAGAGGAAGCTGTTTTATAATAAGTCAGACAATTGGTTCATCTAGCTCATTGATTGGTAGGAGTTCTTATAAATTCCAGACAGGGGATTTTCACCATTCTAAGTGGGCATAGCAAGAGCTGAATCTGAGATTCTTTTCATGAAGGCTTATATCTATGCTTCGACAATAAAACACATTTCCTTGGAGTGTGATGGAGTCTCTTTCTTTGGAGGCTGCATGGCCATCTGTTGGGTGTGCTTTGATTGTGTGTTCCTGCAATGGCAGGGGGTTGGACTGGTTGGCCCTTGTGGTCTCTTCTAATTCTATGATTCTATGATTCTGTGCTGCTCTGGAACAAAGCTTTCTATCCACCAGTCAATCAGAGCTATCAGGTGATCCCTGCCCATGCCTAGTCCCTGCCAGGGAAGGATGAAGGGTGGTAGAATGCAAAACATGTTTCAGCTCTAGTGGTTCTCTAAGGCCAAAAGAAGCCTTTCCCTTTCTGGTAATGTTAGAATAGCATCATCATAATTACCATGTCAGCTACGTTCATGGTATCTAATATCAACAAGTCAGAAATATGAAAGTAGCATCCATTTTAAAAAATGATGTCTGACCATCTCTTTATGGTAAGTCTCTTTATGGTATGAATTTTCAGCTACTTTGGAGACATCTCATTGGCTTTCTGGTCCTACTCTTGGAATAGTTGCTCTATAAAAGATGACAACATCTTTTAATGAATTCAAAAACTGAAATAATACTTAGGGAAATATTCCATATAATTGTTGGCTTTGTGATGAAGGGGAAGGGGAAGGAGGAGGAGGAGGAGGAGGAGAGAGACAGAGAGCAGAGAGATTGAGAGACAGAATTTCAAAGCATGGTGAGAACAAGGCAAATATTCAGTCACTAAGAATAGAAATTGAGAAATATTTTTATTTTTTTCCTAAGGATGCTAGGAGGTGGAGGGTTTTTTTACACAAGATAGCAAAACTATAGAATTTGCTACAGTAATATGTAATAATGCATATCAACTTGAAATGTTAGGTTTAAATGGGATATAGAGTCAATGTTAAAATGTTGAAATGTAAAAGATGTGTGTCTGTATTTTTCCTTGCTGTGAAAAGTTGTTTTTGCTGAAGCCAGACTCAGTTATCAGCCCAGGTGTGTTCTTAGCCCAAAACAAGGAGCTAACAAGACTCTATTCTGTGAGAAAGAGATTTTGTTTACATTGAGGTTTTTGTCAACATGGAATTGTTATGGGAAATGTAGTCACATGATTTATTATGGTAATTAAAGGTTGGGCTAAAGCACGTCATGTATTATCACCCAATCAGCTTGTAAAGGCTACACCCAAAAGGGTGGAGAATTGGGGGGCTGAGAGCTGGGAATTAGAAAGCTACTCACTTGCTTTTTAACCTTTGAGCTATAATGAACTAATTAAACTTTTCTCCTGTTGTTGCTACTCATCAATCTTGAATCATGTAGCAGATAGGCTTTGTTCCTGTTTAGCCTTCTGGCTAAAGTGAAGCTATTCTTCTTCTTATTATTATTATTTGTTTTCTGTTTTTGCTCTTTTACAATAAAAGTTACTGGAAGTTCCAGGGTTTTTTTTTTTTTTTTTTTTTTTTTTTTTTGGTGTTTGATTCTAAAGGACTGTTTTAACATCCCATCAACATCAATTTTCCAACTATAGCAAAACTATAGAATTTGCTACAGTAATATGTAATAATGCCTATCAACTTGAAAGGGCTTTAAAAGAGAGTTAAATAACTTCATGAAAGATAAAGCTATCAGTGGGGTGAACAGACGGGCAAAATAAATCAGTTTCCAGTTGCTTTGAAGGTGGAGCATTTAGATGACACACACCTCAAAAGCAGTTGGAAACATGACTGAAGCGATGCTTTGGGGTTAAAAACCAGAACAAAAAGAAGCTGGGATAGTCCAACACAAGGCAGAAAATGCATATCTTCACTGCTGCATATAAACGTCCCGTGTGGTGCTGTGGCAAAGGAAAGAAATGAAAGTGTAACAACTTCAATAGATGTAATCACACAAACTAGACAGTCCAACAGGGTGCATGAGGTGAAGAGGGGGTGAAGAGGGCACATATGGGGGGCCTCCATGATTATGCTTTGCCAATGTATCACTTGCACCCCAATGCACTGATGTACAGGCGGAGCATCACATACGTGACTGTGTGGACGATCAAAGGTGCAATCATGCAATGGAATGACATCTGGGCAGATGTAGGAAGTATTTGAAGGTAGCAGGCAGTGTGTTTGTGCAACAGTGCACATGTATGGGAGGGAGGCAACAACAAAAAATTACCCAGCGTAACTGGGAGCGGGCCATGCAGACAGCATGGAAAAAGCAGGAAAAGCCACTTTCTCCTGCCCATCTGTTCTGGTGCAATGCTTGCCAGTCAAGATAACTACATATTCTCTTTAGTATGCCCCTGAACAGCACTTGCTGGGGTAAACAACCAGGAGGATGCTGTTGTACTAATGTACTCAGCTGTGAGTTATTAATAGACTTGTTGGCGAGATTGGAAACAAAATGTTAGACTAGGAGTATATCTGTCAGCCAGTGTGGCATCATGGTTTGAATGTTAGACTATGAATCTGGAGACCAGGGTTCAATTCCCAGCTTGGCCATGGACATTCATCAGGTGACCTTGGGCAAGTCACATACTCTCAGACTCAAGGACAGGTAATGGCAAACTTCCTCTGAACAAATGTTGATAAGAAAATCAAGTGATAGGCTCACTTTAGGGTCACCATACATGGGAAATGATTTGAAGGCACACAAAAAGAACAACAACGGGAGTATATCTATACTGCACATTTATATTAGGTTCATACCATATTAACTGTTATGACTATATCCAACAGAATCTTGAGATTTGTAATTTAAGGTATTTAGAATTATCTACTAGACACCTCTAATGCCTGTCTATAGAGAATTCTAAGTTTCTTTAAAAAAAAATTCCTGTCAATCTGACTTCCATTTATGGCAACACTATGAATGGGAAACCTGAAAGAGCCCTAGTCATCAGCGGCCCATGACTTCTTTGACTGAATCAATCCATCCGGAGTTCAGTCTTTCTCTTTTCCTACTATTTTTTATTAAGCATTACCATCTTTTCCAATGAATCAAGTCATCTGAAGGTATATCCAAAGTATAACAGCCTTAGTTTGGTCTACTTCACTTCTAGTAATAGTTCAGGTTTGATGGGCTCTAAGACACATTCATTTGTCTTTCTACCAGAACTTGGTATCTACAGAACTTTTCTCCAGGACACAGTTCAAATGAGTTGGGTCTCTCCTTGTCATCTTGCTTCACTGTCCAGCTTTCACAACCACCCACAGAAATCAGAAATATTCTGACTTTGGTATTTAATTACTTTAAATTTCAGGATCTTATCTAGTTCCTTCATGGGTGCCTTTCCAAGGTTTAGTATTCTAATTTCTCCATTTCAATTAATGACTGGGCCAAGGTATAGGAAGTCTTCACCTAGTTCGATGTTTTTGTTACCTAGTGTAAAGTTATGTAAATAGTCTGCAGTCATTATGTTAGTCTTCCTAATATTTAACAGTAAGCCTGCTTTTGCACCATCTTCTTTAACTTTCCTCAGTAGTTGTTCTAAGTCTTTTCTATTTTCTGCAAGTAATATGGTGTCAACAGCAAATATTTAGTTATTGATATTCCTTCCTCATTTTCACACTTGCTTCCTCTGAGTCTAATCTGTCTTGCATATAAACTGAAATATGTAGGGTGAAAAAATGCAGGCTTGTCCAATCCACTTACCAATGGGAAAACCATTGTCTTTCTGCATATTGCATCTTGACAGTGGCTTCTTGTCCAGAATGTAGTTTACATACCAGGACAATCAGGTGTTGTGGCAGTCCCATTTCTTTTAGAGTGAACCATAAGTTCTTAAGATCTACATAGCCAAAAGCTCTGCTCTGCTATAAGCAATAAAGTGCAGGTTTATTGATATGATCTTTAGTGTCTGTTCCTTTTCTGAACCCAGCTTAGATATCTGGCATTTTTTGCTAAATGTATGGTAAATGTAAAAGCCTTTCTTGCAAAATCTTGTGTATCACTTTGCTTGTGCAATCAGTGCAACAGCTACATGGTTTATTCCCTTGTGTCCCTTTTTGGGGGATTGGAATGCAACAATCCAATCCAATCCATCCTATTCTTATTCCTATTCCTGTGGTTTTTTTAAAAAAAAAAATAGAAATGTCTGAAGCACAAGGCGCTATATTATATCAACCATATCCTTTCCATGGGAATGTAGAGTGATTGTTTATTCATTTATGCAAACTCTTGAGATGTAATTAGCATACCATAACATTCTTTCTAGGCTCAGTAGTTTCCAGGAGAGTGTTGAGAAACACCCATCAGCTGGAACACGGGAAATGAAAAATTGCATTGTTGAAGTAATCTTTTTTTTTTCAAATATTCTCCCAACTTTAAAAACCTGTATGTAATGCATTTCTTTGTAGGTTATCAGGAATACGTTCAAACTACAAAGAACACATGAAATGTGTTTCATGGAATTTGAAACTGGTCAGTGGATGAGAATTCTTGCAACTGTTTAAGACTTTGGTAAAATGTGCAGAAAATTTTGAGCAATGTCCTTCCCATCTCAGTTCAGTAGTAGGTAAGCCCATATAAAGACTCAAAGTCTGGGTAAGGAGAATATATGCAGGATGCTTCTCCAGAATTTGACTTAACACTATTTCACTTCCCTCGCCCCAACTTCTCCATTATTTCTTTACCTCAATGCTTCCATCACCACAAAAGCTTCCCATGCCAACAGTTCTTGTGCTCAGAAAAATATCAGACTTATCTTCCAATATCTGCTGAATACAAGTACCAGCTACTGTATTTATAAGTTTTTATTCACCGGATACTCCCTACTTTCTGGGTTGGATCCAGATGTAGAGCCCAGTTCTAACTGGACAAGATTATCCACTGCCATTTGAGATGAAATGATTACAAAAAGATCCACCAGCCTTCCAGCATGTATACCAAGAAAGTGTGGAACAATTACAGGATTAATAAATATATAAATAAAGTGTGGCAAGAAAAGAATCCAACAATTTGTAGTATAACACACAACATGGTGTAATGGTACTCCTTGCATACAGTGTGGGGTATGCTAGTAGCAGAAAAATCCAGGTTCATATCCCTATCTAGCCAAGAAGATTATTGGTTACCCTTGGATTAGTTGCTTAATATACCTTAGAGGGCTACTGACAGGGTAAAAATGGGAGGGAAACCATGTATACTGAGTTGCACTCAGTGGAAGATATAAGTGTAATGAAAGTGGAGTATGTAGATCTCAGGGCTCTCCTTGGTATCAAAATAGAAATGTTATCACCAGGTTGCAATGTTTGTCAAATACTTCTTTGAAGAACAGAGAAATGCTTTGTGTAAAAGACATGTTTTGTAGTATCAAGATACTTTATCTAATAACCTTATGATAATTTAAACCACAGTGGAGAAGCATTGCCCAACAATCCATCCACAATGGGCCAGCAGATGTAATAGCATGAAAAAGTAATGAAGAAGTAGTTACTTGTGGTTAATAAATAAATCCATTTTTAAAAGAAAAATAATAATATGGGATTTTAAACTACAACATATAAAAACTGGAATGCAAGGACCCCAAATATGTCATTGATTTTAGACTAACATTTGCCCTCTATGTGAGCCATGCAACATTACTGAGCCCAATGGAATGTTCAGCTCTCCCTAAGTGCTTGAATGTGGCTACATTTCTCAAAATTTATAGGCTGGTGAGGGAAACTGTGCTAGCCAAAGCCATGTTTCAAGAAAGTTGTTAACATGAGTCAAACCTCATACAGGCAGACCTTTAATTTTATTTTAACAAAAGCCTGATGTGATTTTTATCATTCTTGGTAAAAACTGGGTAACTTATATATAAAATCTTCCCAATGCTTTTCTTTTACATGTTTAACCCAGAGGTTTTCTAGCCCTTGGTGAATTCACGTTTATTTAATTATGTCCTAAGTTTGGCTATTCTTCAAAAAAGCAGACATCAGTCCAGACTTGCATATAATTAATCAAAGTACCCAATGTTATCATAAATAACTGAAGGCTTCCTGGATTTAGCAACATTATTAGCATGTGATTAATAAGCAGTTAATGAAAACCAGCCCCTGAAACACATTTGTTAAGATATTTTATCATACTTCAAAGTTCTACTGCAAAGTTTGTAGCCATAGTTAAGACTCCTGCTTTACTTAGTGATATGTTGTTAAAAGTGCCATCTGGTCAAACAGCTGTCAGAATTCAAACATATGAGACCCCATTTGTTCCTCCTGGGAAATATGTGTGTTGTGTAATGATTAGGCCAATTGATAGTGGTTTTAATCTAACCCAACCACATTCAGTTTTGTTCTACGCACTTCATAGTTATTATAATCACCATCATCATCCAAGTCTGGTGCCAAGATCTGATAGTTTTGTTGTTGAAATGGAATTCCTGAGAATTAAGAGGGAGGGATCAGTGCTCAGGGAATGCCATGGTTTGCATTCAGGAGAGGGGAGAACAGGCACCTTAAAAATGTTCAGCGATGAACAAGCATACACAGTGGCCACAGAAAACTAAATGTTCAGGGGGTAGCATTGCAAAACTAACACTGAGAGAGAAGGGATTCAATATTTCAAAAGACAGCAAGATTGGTTGTCTAAACCACTGAACTGAAATACTTCACTAACAATAGCAATAATAACAGCAATGATCACAGCTGACACTTACTTGAGGACCAGGTTGACCCTGCAAAGGAAAGGAAAGGAAAGGAAAAGTTACAACAGGCCCACAATATTTGCCCCAGCTTTCTAAGACAGAATGATGATTATAGAACAGAAGGCAAACTCCAGCACCAAAAGCCCGGAATCTAAGGATATTTAGTTAAAATTCCAATTAGTGCATTGGTTAGAGGTAGGCAATCTTTCCCATTTAAGGGCCGAGTGACTCCAGCTCCCAGAAGCCAAAGTATCAGACTCATAAGGGACTGACAGAATTATTTCAACAACAAACTTCAGTTAAGATGACACTTATTTATAGCTTCTAGTAAGTTTAAAAGAAGCCAGAAGCATGTTCAGTGTGCAATATGTGGTAAAAGAACAGGATGAATTTATTTTCAGAATGTGCTGTTAATGACTTATTTAAAATGCATTTATCAAAGTGACATAGTTGGAAGAAAACCAGTCATTTCCAACTACTTGAGAATTCCCACAGCATGCTATGAACCTGAAACCAGAATATTCTAGAGGTAGCATCATTGGCTGAAATGGGTGTGCTTTACAACAGGGCCTTAAAACATAGTCCTATAAATTATGTCATTGCAAATATTAAATCTTTATAACTAGCTTAGAAAACAGCTCTAGGCCTCTATACTTGCATGGAGCTCCTCTTGTATGCAACTTCTCTTTGAATGCAACTCTTTTTCAAAAAAACTTCAAAGTACCATGTCACTCTCCAGATCCAATAGGTTCCTAATTAGATGCTAAATTCATTTGTTATTTCTGTGAATATTTTTGTCACATCCAGAGGTGACATCACATAACATATTCAGGCTGTTTATCTTAAAAATATGTATGTAAAAATTTCATA